CCTCACCTGGGAAAATTTTTATTCCTAGATGGCGGGAAGTGAGCTTTCCAGACTTCTGAGGTATCTTTTAATTACTTTTAAGTTCTTCAAATTCAAGGTTTTCCTCTCTTGAAAACGGTCAGGTAAACTTTCTCACTCTTATTACAGTAAATAGGCCTATTCATGTGTGTATGTACATACCAAAAAATTGAGTCGCATAGGTATTCTTCTTTCCATGAACCTATGAACCCCATAGAGGAAGGAGGGTCTGGGGTCCTCCCTCGGAAAAATTTTGATCCCTAGATGGCGGCAGAAATTAGCTTTCCCGACTTCTGAGGTGTCTTTTAATGACTTTAAATTCTTCCAATTTTGTTTTCTCCCTCTTAAAACTAAACATTCTCATTCTTATTACAGTAAATACTAGTAGGCATATTATGTGTGTATATAAAGTACCGTAGCCTACATTGCATAATTGTTCTTTCCATGAAACGATGAACCCCAAAAAGGAAGGGACCCCCTCCACCAGATCCACCAATGTGAATTGCGAGAAAATAACTCGGTCGGGGACGGGATAAACACTATTGAAGGTTTTTTTTAAAAATGTATTTTTTACTAAAGTTTTTCTCATGCATTATCACATGTAGCAATGTATGACCACTGGTTTTACATAAACGAGATAGGTATAAAATTATGAGACGTCCCAGATTGAATTTTTGTTAACATGCATGGTAAAGGTACTCTCTTGTATATTTTTGTATATTTTTACGAGGAACCTATTCCCTGTGTTAGAAACTGTTAGAAGCACTGGCTGTCATGTGCTCGGATACGACAATGGAGATTTTGTTAGCATTATCAGGGGAAAACAATCATTTTTTAGGTCTTTATTATGTTATTTATTATATTTTAGGCCTTTATTACAAAGCCATAGGTGCTATTTGTACGAAGTGACTCTTAACCATATGTGTCACTCACAATGTAAACCTGAATTTTCAGAAGGAGAATTACCATTTTTTTTGCATGCACATTCGCATATGCTGTTTTTGTTTTATAAACTGTTGTAGGCCTACAGTAGTTTGGGTTTATGACATTTTAACTTTTCTGATAGGCTTGCTATCGTCAGTTCGTTTTATGAGGATCACTACATGTGCCCATGAGGTGCTGTACAGAATGACATGTCGTAATTAGGCATTTCCGTTATCTCATCACTTAAATAATGTTTAAACAGTAGGCATTTTCATGGGATTGTCTACCCTATGAAATCTGTTTACTTGTGCTTATGGTCTTTCCTGTCGGGGGTGTTCTTGTCGACGGGCCTCCTGTTCGCAGTCTAGCTGCATGCATGACGAAATTCTTCCCCTTAGAAGAAACGGTCACTGGTGGGTTGGATGATTGATTGCTAATTGCCTGCATGCTGCCTAAACGGCCTTCACAATGAGTAAACAAGACCTTGGTAGTAGGAGAAAATTGGACACAGTTCAGCCAGTACTGCTCCAATAATGGTAAAATTTCAGAAAGTATACACAATTTCTGAATCTAATGTTTTTATTTAAAACATAAAATGTTTTAAACCAAAATCCGACAATAATGAAAAAAGACAGTAGCGTGCGTCTGTGGATTTACTTTACTTTTTTCACGAATTTCGCGAACGTAAAACCGTTACTTGGCGATCGGGAGAATACCAGCCAGAAAGATGCATCAATATTTTATTAGTTCTCAAAAAACAAAGATGGTAATTTTGGTCATTTTCAATACACATATGTATTGAAAATGACGTGTATTGGTGTTTATGCTGGCCTAAATAAATATAAGAAAACGATTCTTTCTAGCCTATTCTATTTATTTTATGATCGTGTGGCGTACAGCAATGTTTACTTACATCCCGGCTATCCAGGGGCTAGCTATTCTGCAGCTTACAGCTGATGTATTTCAACCTAGGCTCAGAGAGTAGTAAATCTCTATTTAATAGGGCCTCCGAATCGAGCGATGAATATTTAGTTGACAGTTAGAATTTAGGAACAGAGAATAACTCGTCATGTATTAAAATCAAATGCTAAATTGATTTTATAACTGATATTCTGTATCTTCGTTGCATACGATCTACAGACGATTACTCGCTCTCACGGTCAGTGCACAACGTCACGAACGAACGAGAAGCCCATGTGCTTGAGTCGTGGGCGATTTAGAACCGTCCATTTTGCGGCAGGGTATTCATTTTGTATTATAACTATAAATACACGTGCCTAAACATTACCACATTTAAACATGTGTATTAACCGTTATAATAAACATGTTTAAATATTATATTAATATTCATAAACACGTGCACTAACCGTTATAATACACATGTTAAAATACTATTATAATAAGCTTCACCGGGCACACAATGGTTCGGTCTTGAAATGCCAGGGTAGGCACTTCAGTTCAATCTTATTATTTTTGTTTGTTATGCATCGTAATTTTCCCGATTTTTAGGTGTGAACACAATTTGTATTTTCTTTTTAATTATACTGTGGTATAGACAAGAAGAACAATTCCCAGTAAAAAATATTTGCGGGAAATTCAGTATTTGCTTCTGTTCGTTCCAATGCACTTTTTGACATCACACCACATCTAAACATGCGCTCCCGATTATAACTCTTTTTATTGAAAATGTAGGGATATGTTAAGAGAGTATTAATTGTTGTAGCCTAGATTGTAGGCTTATTCATTACGTTTGCCGTGCCTGACCATTGTAAACGAAATATCTCTTGCTCACTCTATATCACTAACCTTCCTAGGCCTAACTACAATACACTAGTACGCGACCTTCGCAGGCCGCCGGCAGCGGGTAATACATTTTAGGTAAGTAGCGAATCTTTCACCAGACCTGTCACTTGTGACAGGGGGTTCGATGATCGATTACCCGAATAGGTCGGGCAGCAGGACCAAATTCGCTAAGGGCTGATTTTTGGCATGTGGGTATATTACGTATTATTGTTATGCCTTTTGTTGATTATTTTTATTCATGGTGACTATTCATAATGTTAAAATGATTATGAAGTTGTTTATACAGTATCAATTATTGTTCATTCTATCTGGATAAGATTATTGGTCGAGAGATTAAACGCTCGGTGGAACTCGCTTGTGTGCGGAGGGGTTCTGTGGCGATGTTAGCCACATGAAGGGCGCCCTCTGGGGAAAAGAGGGAGATGAGGTTTGATAATACTGTACAAGATGGAAGATGGAAACGCATGTGTCTGCCTCTGTGTGTGACCTTACACTAGGCCATGGACGTTGTTTATTGATCCCGGTCCTGACAGAATCACCATAATTATATATACTGATAAATAAGTATCCAATAATGGTATGGTGCGTGTGTATGTCCCTAACCCCCTAAATATGACCTGAGTGTTTTTCTATTCCTATTCCCATCCCGCTTTGCAGGAACAGATAGAGTTACAGATTTAAAGTTAATTAAATGGGGGACGAGGTGTACGGAGCCCCTAAAGGGACATGGTTGGAAAAAATAAACTATTTTGAAGGAACGAAATGATTTTGTTCCCTCGAAATAGTATTCGTTCCCTCAAAGATTAATACAGTGTTCGAATAAAGAACAGAATAATACATCATGTAGCAGAGCTCTCAACAAATGTAGCCCTGTAAATAAATGAATAAAGAAATTGTGTAATAAAATGGCTCTGGTGGGACTCGAACCTGCGACCTTTCGCTGTGAAGGCGAGCGTCATAACCATTAGACCACATATGCTTCATGGATAAACAGATTCAGATACCACCTGCAGATACACTAAATTATATATAAATAATTAAAGAAAGGTAAATACAGTGTTCAAAATATCATCAGCAGAGTGCTCAATAGTAATTAAACCAGAGCGAATTAAACAAAAATAAGAGGTTCAACAGTAGGTTTGATTAGGCATTTTATTACAATTTAGTTTCGTACTACACGTACGTGGTGCAACACTATTCTCATAAAATTACCTAATGACTAAGATCATGAAGGAATTAGTTTAATTCCTCCATGCTAAGATAGATTATCAACACAGACTAATTAATTGTAAAACGAAGCATGGAGGAAATAAAACAATTTTTGTTTTATTTCCTCCATGAACGAAGCATGTGCAAAGTAAAGGCGGTAATAAAGATAAACTATATATCGTAAATTCCACGATGGTGTGGATTGCACAGAATACAGAATACAGAACTTTATTGGTCTTGAAAGTAAAAATACAATGAAATAATATTTCGTTCCCTCGAAATAAATTTCCTCGGAATAATATTTTGTTAGAACGAAATATTATTTCATTCCCTCGAAATGATTGAGTTCCCTCGAAATATTATTTCGTTCCCTCAAAATAATATATTATTTTTTCTAACCATTTCCCTTTAGGTGCTCCGTAGAGATGTATAATAATGTTTTGAAAAAACTCCTCTCCGGAGATTCCCGGAAATATCACATGTAGGCCTATACTTAAAAAAGAAAATTGCCTTCATATTATGAGTTTAAATGTAGATTGAAATAATCACGGCCGGCATAAACAGTATGCAAATGTGGTAACAGTGATGATAGTTTGATGACAGTTTGGCTTTCTCCAATTCCGAAAATTGTATATATAGACTTAATTGTTATTTTGTTATATAAACATTTTCAAAATTAATCATGATTATTATTAAAATTAAAGATTATCCGTAAAGCTGAAACGTTTATTGCAATACAAAAACAAGCACATGGTGGATTGTTGTTCTAAATGTGATTAATTATTAATAAATTAATTTAATTTATTATAGAATCGATAGATGATGATGATGATGATGATTATGATGATGATGATGGAGTTGATAATGATGACAACAACGGCGACGAGAACAATAACCATAATGATAAAAGTGTTGATAATAATAATAATAATAATAATAGTAATAATAACAGTAATAATAATAATAATAATAATAATAATAATAATATTTTTTTATTATTCTTATGATTGTTTTTATATAATTTCAATTAAATTGGACATGCTTACCTGCTGGACAAATATAACAGCCTGAGTCTTGAAGTCTCCCGTATGAACCAGGACTACAGGGTTGACATGTCGTATTATTATCACTAGTTGAGCACGTCATACCATATAAATATTTAACTGAATCATAATTCGCACTCAAAGTGAGGACTGTTTTATCTCCGACACAACTTCTAAAAAAGAAAAATTAAAAAGAATAAATAAAAATAATTATGTAAATGCTTACATGAAATGAAGCATTTAAATTAGGTTCTTGGTAAGTAACTATAATTATTTCAGCAGTATCTATGTCTACCAACGACGACTACAGTGCACTGCTACACTGGTGCTGTATTGTGTAGCCATTCCTAAAATAGACAAATTTGGTTGAAAGCTAAAAATATTATCAGCGTTAGACCTATATTACTGGATGTATAAGTGTATTTCTCCCTGAAATTATTCTTGATAACATATCAATTCAAAGACTTAAGTTACGTACGTGTTTGTGTGTTCTGCTATTTTCGATGGAATATATTTGAGATTTCCACAGTCCAAATACCTAATTAATAAATTATAATAGGTAAGTAAGTATGTAAACCAAGAACAATATGAACCGCAATAATGGAGATTAACTGCTTAAATATGTTTAATATCGTCTAAAAACACAAAGCTTTGTTGAATCGCTAACTGTAGCCTAAAAGACAGAGTTCAGTATTTCGGTACCGGAACCCTCTGTACTGCGAACACACATACAGCATAGTATTATTGAATAATAGTATGTACGAATCCGCCCATGACGCTGCTATGATATGACCCCCCCACCTAACCCCATCAATTCCTGTACCTAAAATCAGCACTTTCAATTCAGTGGCGTCATTGTGTTTGTGGGGCCAGGTGCTTACTGTTATTGGGAGCATGCCAAGTTCGACAAATTTGGAGGCGCGAGACCAGTCACAGTGCAACGGGGAGAGGGGGAAAGGGGGGAATTTTCACCCAGAAAATTTTCCCCCCTCAGCTTTTCCCCACCCCCCATAAAAGAAGAAAAATCATAATATCAGGCGCTTACTGTTATTGGGAGCATGCCAAGTTCGACAAATTTGGAGGCGCGAGACCAGTCACAGTGCAACGGGGAGAGGGGGAAAGGGGGGAATTTTCACCCAGAAAATTTTCCCCCCTCAGCTTTTCCCCACCCCCCATAAAAGAAGAAAAATCATAATATGTAGGGGAAAATATTAAATCAATTTTCTACATATTAGTAGACTATCTAAAATCGATTAAATAAGCCTCTGAAACCCCTAAATTGTCAAATTTTTTTTGGGGCTTTGCCCCTGGACCGTTTTCGAAACATTTTAATCAGCACCCGACCACGCCTAGTTTGTTCCGGTGGGCACCTTGGCTCCCCCTCCCCCCCAAATCGTACCTTGCCCCTCACTTGCTCTCCCTCCCCCCAGCTTCCAGACGCTGGCACCGCCACTGTATGAGACTTTTGCTCTATAAACCTTTCTCCTGGGGTGGGACATCCCCACCAATGGGATGGGGAATCCCCACGCCAAGAGAATGGGGATGGGGGATTTCCTGGGCATCCCCGGAAGGTTTTTTCCCTAGAGACTCAGAAATGCACTGTTTGTTATTAGGATTGTATTTTTACAACTGAAAACTTGTTAGAAATAATCCACATTTGTTTTCATCAGAATGCATATTTCTGCCGTCCATGATCGAACCTATCCCACCAATATGAGCCGCACGCGTGGCAGCTGGCAGTGCGTTCTTGCTCCTATTGATGCAGCTTGTTTGATCTGATCAAGAGAAATATTTGATTTTTTACTAACAATTATCATAATTTATCAACTAAAGAATACATGAGATGCCATAAAAAAATAAATGAAAAATTATGTAATACTGTAATTATGAAAGAGACATCAGAAAAAAAAAATATCTAAACAAACATTTTAAGTTCGAGCCGAGCTCTTTGTTAAAGATCTGTGCTCTCGATTTTTTTTTTCTAACTATCAATGTCGGGGCCCCTCGTACCTGGGGGACCTGGCGCTCCGCCCCACGTCAGCGCCCGAGCGTAACGCCACTGTTTCAATTTCAACTATTAGATTATTTACTCATCTTTACCCGCATCTTTACTACCGCGTATTTAATAAAAATTGTTAACAAAAATGATGACGATGACATGACTATGATGATGAAAATACAAACAATGGACAATAATAGAGTGCATGCCGTCATTTAGTACGGCAGCTTAGAACCATATTTGGACTTCATGTGAACGTTCCGGACAAAAGCACCAATTTTTTTACATGCTCCTTATGGTCATAGCATTCAATTTTTGGTAGGAACCACCTCATCCGAGGTCATTATGGCGGCCATCTTAGATTTCAAAATGGTAGCTTTATAAAACCTATATTTATCTATATCTCCGCTTCTAAATCAGTTTGAATTATAATTCTGATGTCTAAGAGTATATTTATATGATCGAAGAATACCATCATATGATTTTTGACCTGCTCAGATTGCCACAAATGGGTCATTTAAGGTCATTCAAAGTCAAATATTGTATGGTATCTTTAAAATTACGTAATTGTCAAATTTTACATTAGAATCATACCCAGGCTTTCAGAATTCAAAAGTTTTACTCTGAACTACAATATTTCATTCGAGGTCATTCTGGCGGCCATCTTGAATTTCAAAATGGCTGCCAGACAAAACCTATATTTATCATTATATCGGCTTTTAAACGACTTCCAATACGAATTATGATGTCTAAAACTATATTTTGATGGTCAAGGATTTATAGCACTTGTGACATGGTCAGATGGTCATTTAAGGTCATTCAATTTCATTTTTCTGTTAAATACGTAGAATATCTTAATAGTTTGTAAGTGGTCGTGTTTTTACAGCAAGATCATACATAAACTCACAAAAATTCAATTTTTGATAGGATTTATTTCAACAGAGGACATTATGACAGCCATTTTAGGTCAAGGTAATTTAGCAGCCACATTAAATTTCAAGGTGACCACCATGTAAAACATGTTTTGTTCTTTTAGATATGTTTACTGTATTGCATAGTGAAAGAATAACATCAAAAGTAGTGACATGTATTTGTATTTATTATATTCCATTATACATTGAAAAAGTATGATATCAGATGTTCTATTTAATTTGAAATGATAAATTGATATCAAAAAGAATGGTATAATATATTCATATACATGTATATATATATATATATATATATATATATATATATATATATGGCACTGTTTCACATATATATATATATATATATATATATATATATATATATATATATATATATGTATTGTGTGTTGGGGTGTGTAGGTGTGTATATATGTGTATGTATGTATATACAGTATGTATGTGTATATAAGTATATATATATATATATATATATAAATATAATCGAATATGCAATAATATTTTGCTCACACTATGATGACATTACTTTTATGAAATTAGAATAACATTTTGTATTTATAATATTTCTTATTGTATACCGTGGTACAGTATGTGTTTATTTCAATTAAAAAGGATAAAAAATTGTGGGTTGCCCCCACAAAAGATAAAAAAAAGGTGGTGACATGGTCAGATAGTTATGGTCATAAATAGGTCATTTAAGATCAATATTGTATGACATCATAATAATACATCTTCTCGGATTGTTATTATATAATCAGAATAGTGGCAAAATCAATGAAATACCTATAGTATATATGTATATCAGTATACAGACTATGTTATATATAAATTAAAATACTTTGCTGTGTAGCAGTACATAAATACAATACTAGTTAAAAGATAGAATAATAATAATGTTGTAATATATAAATATGTATCTCGACCACAGTTCTCTGTGGTTGAGTTGGTAAGACCTTCGCACGTTAAGAAAAAGGTGCTGAGTTTGAGTCCTGGTGGAGGCAAGGATTCCTTTTCATTCTGATCAGATTTTCCTCTTCTGTTGCATTTAAATTTTATATTATTATTTACAAAATGGGTTTATCCCATTGGTCTATTAAATTAAATAAGTATATAAATTAATATTGTTTTCTATTATTTGTTTTTATATTACATATGCGCCTAAATAAAATGTCCTGTAGACGTTCAGCTCTCATAGTCAGCTAATTGAAAATTAATTTAAATATTGTTAATACATCATAAAATATATATATTATAATGTCAACTGAATATATATATATATATATGTATATATATGTATATATATAAATAAACACTGTCAATAGGTAAATGATTGAAGCAATGCTTATTTTTATTTGTTTATAAATACATGTATATAGGAATATACTTTATTATATGTGTATCTAATAATATAAAGAAATTATTATATACAGTGAGTTTAATGACAATAAAAGTATATACAAATTAATTTAAAGCATATTATCTCACTGAAAATTGTACATACATAATTACTATATATATATATATATAAATATAAAAAAAAATATATATATATATATATATATATATATTATATATATTATATATATATTATATATATATATATATATATTTCATAGTAAAACATTAGAATTCTGAGAGTATGGATAAGATTCAAATGTTCTAATGTAAAACATGAGTTACGTAATTTTTAAGATACCATACGATATTTGACCTTGAATTACCTTAAATGATCTATTTGTGGTAATCTGACCAGGTAAAAAATGGTAATGGTATGGTATATACATTGAATGACCTTAAATGACCTTTTATGACCATCTGACCATGTCACAAGTGTTATAAGTCCCTGACCATGAAATATAATTTTAAATTACTATAATTCTCATTAAAATTGTTTAAAAACCGATATAGTGATAAATATAGGATTTGCGTAGCAGTAATTTTGAAATTTAAGATGGCCGCCAGAATGACTTCGAATGAAATATTGTAGTTCATAGTAAAGATTTTTAATTCTGAGAGTGTGGGTATGGTTCTAATGTAAAATATGACAATTATGTAATTTTTAAGATACCATACGATATTTGACCTTGAATGACCTTAAATGACCTATTTTTGGCAATCTGACCAGGTCAAAAATGGTATGATGGTATTCCTTAACCATATAAAAATAGTTTTAGACAGGAGATATAAACATAGGTTTTATTAGGCCGCCATTTTGAAATCCAAGATTGCCGCCATAATGACCTTGGATGAGGCGGTTCCTATCAAAAATTGAATGCTATGACCATAAGAAACATGTAAAAAAAATTGGTGCTTTTGTCCGTAATATCCACATCCATATCTGCTAAGCTGCCGGACTAATTTATATGTTATCAATTTCATTTGCACGTAATTTCTATATAATTGCATATTCAGGCGAATGCACAGCTTATACACGTTGTGTCAGATGATTTGTGCTGTATGAAACAACCATATACGTACCGGTATTGTTTACAAGTATCATTATTTGGTTTTACAATACATATTATTCTTAGCATGAATACATATTATTCTTAGCATAAATGTATGCCTATAAGTGTAAATACAGTATTGAGTAGGCCTATGCAGGACCAACATTGAATAATGAATACGTGAAGTGGATATTTGGTGAATGCTAATGTATGCTAATAGGCTAATAATTTGTGCTTACACTGTTGAATTCGGTGCCAGATGAGAGAACGCGCCTTGGTCTATGTCTTCGATCGGATTATTAAACAGAAAACTGCAAGAAAAAAAAATCTTACTTAACTTGAGAAACTCAGTAAAATTGTTTTGATACTTACTGTAAAGGGCCTGCCTACACTTTACTTACATATACTTAAGCGATTCAGTGTGTACTTTGAACATTTCACTTGTGATTTTGTGGAGATTATTTCCGTGAATATATCTAAAAAAAAAAAAAAAATAATTGTGAGGGTACACTCTTCATTAGTTAGACAACACGTACATCTTTTTTTTTAAAGACAAAAAACATTTTTTTAGTATTTGCAAAGTTTTAATAAGAGCGTACAACTATTAGTATTGAACGTGTACTTGCATATCTGTGAGACTGGTTCCATTGAAAGATCCATCTTCTATATACGATATCTTATTCAGGTAAATGTATCTTTTGGGTTGTAAAATAATATCAGTGCATTAGTCCAATGTGAAAAATGAACAGCATTATTATATAAATAATATCTCTTTATTATTTATAATATCTCATTATATTATTTATTGATTTCAATAACAAGTTATGCCCTATTTATATGCTTTTCGTCTATACAATTAGTAAGACTCTCAAATATCAGAAAAAAATATTGTGATTAATATTCAAAAATATTATCTTATTCCAATACTGTTACTATACTTTTATGACCTATGAAACCGCCAAGGAGTTTATGTTTACTTGTTTCTTGTTCGGGTGAGTAAAGCCGAACTCCTCGAACTCCAAAAGTAGGAGCATAACAGGATGGGTAGAAATAGTGTCGAATGATAGAAAAGGTCCACCACCGCAGTTTAAGACGCTTAGCGTCAGTCATGTGCAGGCTTTCCATTACCGCCTCAGGCCGTATTGTCCCTGATAGGTAGGAAACTCATAATCACACGAGCATTGTTGCGAAAAAAAAAGCAAAAAAAAAAAAAAAAAAACCCCAAAA